AGAAGAAGAAGCGTTTAGCGCATTCACGGCGGATGATGCTTCGTCCGCAACCTTGCAGAAACTTGGCGTTTTCAGAACTGCTTTGACCAGATTGTTAATGTCGTGGGCAAAACATTTGCCGAAGTAGATATTTGGCCACCGCAGAGCTAAAATACGGCGTGCTCGCCCACATTGTCCAGCTCCATCAGTGATTGCAGATCCAATTACCCACTGCTTCTGTGATAAGTTTACGATCAGACCCTCCATTTGGTGCGCAATTGCACACCCGTGGTGATCAGAATCGACCCTGTGCATACCTTCGATGTATACTTTGCCAAAAAGAGTGAGATGAACTCCTAATAAATGTGTTTTAGCGATATTTTGCCAAACGTCACTTAAAAAATTCACGCGTCCTCCGGTAGTGTCCTGAACTTTGCGTAGTACTGTAGCACTCTGCTCCAAGTATTCCTTACCACATGCATCTAAGACGCGTCCACCAAGGACACGTCGAGATGGTAACAAGCCAACACACTCCGAGTTAAGGAACTTGAAAAGGCGTAGCGTTGCCGGATGCTCCACAAACGTATCGGGTAGCGCCAGCGATACCTGAAATTCCAAAAGTAGTCTTTCCAGTTGACGTTGGTGATGAGGTGAACTAATAAAGGGCCCACTTGACTCCGATTTAGCCCCGATAGACGCTGCTCGTGGTTCCAGGCTGTTAAAGCCCATGTTTTGTGTAGAATCTTCCTGTAGCTGTATCAAACTGATTGGGGGAGGCTGGCGATTCACTTGTTCTCCATCGACGATACCATGGTATCTCAGAAGGTGCCTCGTAAAATTTTCCACACGGCCAATAATTTTTTCTGGCATCGGGGAATCAGGTTCACGACGTGTCGGGGTTATCAACGAGCGCGCCTTTGCGCGCTCTTGGTGGGCATTGAGACAGTGTCGGCAGCGAACAAAGTAGTGTGTCTTGTTAGCCATCACACCAGGAACTTTTACAAAGTGCTTTCGAGCAGCACTCGGGGGCCTCCCCATCGCAAACCAAATCTGCAAAGACTGTATTTAAACCTCGTTAAACACATTTACATTGAGATATCGAAAAAGTGGCATGCGTACTCTGTTGAAGCTCGGTTTGAATATTAACAACAGGAAGATAGCTGACAGAATGGAGACCACGGCGCTATGGAACGCGACGTTTAGATGAACGACTTGTTCTGCTTCTTTAAAGATATTGTGAGCAAAGAATCCAAATATCATCCTATAGTAGGAAAATCCTACTTTAGGACATGAATAACCACCACGTGATAGCACAGCATCATCCTCATTAAAGGACTCAGGCCCTCACTAAAATTAAGTCAAAAGACTTAGACGTAATTACGCATGTCTGTTCGTAAATACTGTATATACGTCT